CCTCTCCCTTCTGTAGTCCTTCACCTTCCCCCCCTCTTCTGTAGTCCCTCTCTCTCTCTCTCTCTCCATACTAATTACATAAACGACACTCAGTACGATACAGCCCAAGGCATTTAAAGTAAATAACAATAATAATTAAACGATAAGTATTATAACAAAGTCTAATAATAATAATCTAACGAAACAAAATATATATAATAATAAAAAATCACCACAAGAGCTTTAAAAAAAATCAATCACCAAAACACAACAATGATTTAACACGTAATCTCCCTCCCCCTTTTAAAGTATCGCAATAACATAAGTAATTTAAGTCACAAACATCACTGTAGTTGAAGCGATAGAATACAGTTGGTTATTTTTTTCTGTAAGTAATTTAGATAGATAGGTGTGTTATTATTTCCAGTATGTGTTGAGTAAGATAAGTGTCCATATTATGAAAAAAAAATACGGATTAATAATATTCATCTTTCCAGGTCCTCGAATGACACTTAAAACCCATTACATTTTCTTATATATTCAGATTTTTTTGGGGGGGGGGGAGGGGGAGAGGAGGCAACATAGATTTATCATACATATATTCCCAGATTTCGGAGGGTCACCGATTTACCAAACAAACCGATTTTAGAGGGTCGTTGATTTATTGTAATACCGATTTATCTATTTTCCGTGTGGGAGTCGTGACCATTTCCGATAACGATAACTACCGATAATAAGGGTATTATTTTGAGCTTTATTACATCATCACTGAGTTATAATTCACCTGTCTTAATTAACTAAACAAACTACACTAAGGTAATTTCTTGGTAATTTTACATAGAGAATATATTTTCTATACAAATTCTGATGCAGTTTTTCATTAATTTTTATCACCGTAAATGAGACACAATACAGTATCATATAGCCAAATAACCATGCTAATAAACCTAACCTAATTAAATATAATAAAACAGTGACAATAAACAACAATAAACCCATCTCATAAACCTAATTATCACTTAATTATAACAAAATATGAATAAAAATAAATTAAACACAAAAAATAATAGAAATACAAATAGTTTAAACTAAGATGATTGACATAATTAAATAACGTAATTTAAGACATTACAAAATATTTTTTCAAGTTTATATTGACGTTAGGTGTCACGTGAGAGATAATGAACACACCTGGGCAGCTTATTAAAAGGCCGATGTTTACACCTGTCTTCTTGTCCACACCTGAGGCGAGAAATTATTGTGTTTTTACTTCTAGTCGTCCCTTTACCTGTATTAATTTTACCTGGTGATTATATTGTGATTTTTAGCTAATAGATGTAGTGGTAATGATAGAGATGGAGAGGAAGAGGGAGATTTAGAAGGAAGGAAGGAAGGAAGGAAGGAAGGAAGAGAGAGGGAGGGAGGGAGAGAGAGAGAGAGAGAGAAAGAGAGAGAATTCCTTAATAAATACGCTTATATACATTTGCTTACATTATTATTAGTAGACTGCAGGTCTTCTGTAGTTTGGATGATCATGGTTACGTATAGCAAAATAATAATGAAATAATTTACCGTAATACATAAAAATATTAATAATAATAATAATAATAATAATAATAATAATAATAATAATAATAATAATAATAATAATAATTTAATAACAATATTGATGATGATGATGATGATGATACTAATAATAATAATACTAATAATAATAATAATAATAATAATAATAATAATAATAATAACAATAATGACAATGATGATGAGAATAATAATAATAATAATAATAATAATAATAATAATAATAACAATAATGACAATGATGATGATAATAATAATAATAATAATAATAATAATAATAATAATAATAATAATAATAATAATAATAATAATAATAATAATAATAATAATAATAAATCAATTATAATAACAATAACAAAAACAATGGAAACAACTAGAAAACAAATAACAATAAAAGCGAAAAAAAAAACAATACTGAAAACAAACTAGAGCAAACAGGAAGAATTTATACGAAAAAAAAAAATCCCGAAGAAAAACACAACAGCGAATCTTTCCGCCGAGCTGAAAATATTTCCAAACGTTTCCTGTGATAAGACATAAATAAGACTTTTACTCTATATTAATAATACTTTACTTTCACAGCTTAATGATCATAGTATAAAAAACTAACCTTATAGTATCTAATATAAAAACAACAACAACGATGAGAATACAATAGCCGATGTATTTTTTCTTAAGAGTTGTAGAATTGTGTTGTAAATACTGTACTAATGTTATACAGCGCTTAACAACCTGAAGACTACAACAGCGTTAACTTGGTAGAGCGGTTTTTATTCAGGGTTGTGTTGTATGTTGTGGAAGGTTATGTTATAGTGAGTTGTGTTGGTATAATAATATTTGGATTACTGATTATTGATTATTATTATTATTATTATTATTATTATTATTATTATTAGTATCATCATCATCATCATCATCAATAGTGTTATTAAATTATTATTATTATTATTATTATTATTATTATTATTATTATTATTATTATTATTATTATTATTATCATTATTATTATTATCGTTTTGGTATTAGACTATTTTTAAGAATTATTAGCTTATATAATTACTATCATTATTATCATTATCATCATCATTAACCTTATCATTACTGGAATAACATTAGTAGTGGCTGTAGTACAATTATCCTCATCATAAATATTCCTAACAGCAAAAATTATCTCCTTCACTAATACCACACCTGTTGTTATTGTTCAACTTATTAATTTATCAATATTTATCTAGAGAAAAATATTAGTATTTTATGTATCATAGTTTGGATGATACCTAAATAAAATATAGAAACTTTTGAAGATATATCCTAAAGTACTTTGTTTTCATTTATCTTTAAAAAAATAGTTTAGTTATTTATTTGTTGTATTGTCCTTAATTGAAAACTCTGTAGACAGAATAAATCTTAATATTTTCTTAAGTTATTATTATCATTATTACTATTAACAATATTATATTATTAGTATTATTAAAGAACTAACTAATTAGGCACACTATCATAAATTGCCAATGCATTAATAGTATCGTTTATTTATTACAATTAAATTCCATTATTATTATATCTAGACTTCTTAGTTTTATTTCCAAGAGGTTTTGTCACACACAGTTAAATCTTTGTAACATATAGGAGTTGTCACACACTGCTATGCTTTCATATAACGTATAGACTACCAACATGTACTCACACGCATAATAACACACTCACACACACACACGCGCACACACACACGCACACACACACACACACACGCACACACACACACGTCTATCAACACGCAGGTAGATAAGGAGTCTGTGCAATCTACCTGTATGATCACCCAAGCAGTACACAAGGTCACACACACGGATTAACAAGCAAACAACTAGACGTGTATACATACCGATACACACACAGACATGCACACAAGATTATATGTATTAAATCACACACTAAAACTAACACACAGTAACACTCAGATATTAGTGAAGACACACACACACACACACACACACACACACACACACACACCACACACACACACACACACACACACAACCATACATACACAAAACAAGACACAAATACACAGTAAACACGCTACTCTACACACACACACACACACACACACACACACACACACACACACACACACACACACACACAACACACACACCATACCACACAATATACACTAACACACACCACCACACACGACAAACGCATCCAGCCCATACGAGCACGTACTGATCGCTATAAGAACAGCCCAGTCCCAACCACTGTAAAAATTATCAATAACTTGTAATCATCCAGTGTATTCACTCCCTGTCAATCTTACCGTTTTACACTGTCACTATGTTGAAATGCCCTGTAGTATGACCTTCTCCCCACCTAGTTATTATATATCATATTTGTATCACTTATGTTACTTGTATATTATTTGTCAATCAAGAGAACCATTCACCAATTATGTAACTGTATATTTTCAGTCTTCCGGCTGCCATGCTCTTTCAATAAACTGTTAATTATTATTATTATTATTATTTCCATACACACACCACCACACTACACACTTACACCACACCATACACACGCTACAACACACCACACAAACGCACCACACCACACCATACACACGCTACAACACACTTACACCACACCATACACACGCTACAACACACCACACAAACGCACCACACCACACCATACACACGCTACAACACACTTACACCACACCATACACACGCTACAACACACCACACAAACGCACCACACCACACCATACACACGCTACAACACACCCCACAAACGCACCACACCACACAATACACACGGTACCACACACACACACACCTCATCAACCTCTCTAACAAATACTCGGAGACCCCATCAAGTCAGTTGGCCTTTGTGTATAGGCGGACAGTATGTTATTAGCATATCATAATTATTTCCTACCCTGCCTTCCATACATGTCACATCCTCAGGGCCCGCCCAGACGAGCCCCACCAACACCCCTGGTTATATGTCTTAGGTGAATATGTCTTAAGGCTCATTTTACCTTACGGTGAATATTGAAAATCTTAAGGAAGGTTCTCTTCTTGGGAATATAAACTTACAATCGCTGGGGGAGAGAATGAGTCTGCCATAAATGCTTTACTAAATGTTGATTTATATACATGATGGCCGCTCACTCAATTCTGTTATTTTTACGTAATAAAGGTTAAGAATGCAAAGTGATTTTAGTCTCCATTAAAGAAAAAAAATTATGTTGGCTTGAGCTGTATCAACAAACCCACTACAGTAGTCTTGTGAACGGTGGGCGGGGCGACTCCTCCCCTCCAGTGTATTGTGTCAGTGACATCACCCGGGCGGCGGTGGTGATTGGTCGGGAGGCGGGGAGAGTACAACATGGCCGCGCCCTCACCTGGACCTTCTACCTGGCCAACTCACCTTCGCCAGTCAGTCAGTGCGCCGCTGTCAACCAGTTTGGACAGGTGCGAAAAGCCAGTGTTGGACAAAACTCTGCCGCTCGCTCGCGGTCAAAACTACCCTGAAGGATATAAAGCGTAAAAGTTTGGTGATCTACCTGCTGTGCCTTGTGACTTCCGGTACGTGACAAAGTTACCCCTGAAAATCCATTATAATCTCCAGCGAATCTTGCGGTGTTTTAATACATTTTCCCTGAACAGATGGTGACTTAAGGCTGAATGTTGAGGGTGAAATATACAGAAATATACCCCGTGGACTGACCATCACGCCATTAAGCTAAACATACACGTGTAGTTACCTGAAAAATACAAGTCTAGTTCGTATGTGTGTGTATTGATTACTCCCGCTGATCAATATTAGTGTGTTTGTTTCCCACCTTCTCTAGAGCTGCGACACCGACCAGCCACCAGTGTAATAACTACTCTCTTTGGGTGTGTGTGTGTGTGTCTGTCTGTCTGTCTGAGTGTGTCTGTGTGTGTGTCTGTCTGTCTGTGTGTCTGTGTGTGTCTGTCTGTGTGTGTGTGTCTGTCTACATCCAAAATATAAACATCCGATGCTGCGTTAACGTATCTCTAGCCCTGTACACCTGTAATTATTTTATCTCAGGTGAAAGAGTTCGGGTTTCTGTCATCTCCTTATATAGTCATTCAGGTTAAATTTACCTGTTAGGTAATTAACGACGTAGCGCACCCTGAAACACCTGAAAGTGACGTCAAATAAGACTATAATATACGTCTAGACTCACTTTTATAGACGTTAAGTGACGCCCCCCCCCCCTTTAACAACACTCAAGACGTTTAACCTAAATCTTCTCATTATTTGCATGTATGTATAAAGTAATAATGTATATAGCGTTCATGATGTGATTGGTGTTGGTAGATATATGAGGTGACAGGTAGATATGTGCCATGTTGTGTGTGGTATAGGGTGGAGTGAGCTGGACCATCTCTTGTGGTAGATCATGTTGTGGGTTAGAGGCGGCGACGACGACATGGTTCACCCTCAGTTTAGGACATGGTAGAAAAACAATGGGACGCGGAAATACATTATGTTGATCTTCCGGTTTCACGCCATAGATGTTGGTTTAGTCGGCTGTGGTGTGTATGGTGTGGTGTGTATGGTGAGGTGTGTATGGTGTGGTGTGTATGGTGTGGTATGTTTGGTTGTGGTATGTTAGTATATATTGTTTGGTTGTGTTGATGTAGTATAATGAGTATATCGCGTAGTTGTAGCATAAAGAGTTTAGCTTTTGTTTGTGGTGTGTAGTTGTAGTATATATGTATATCGTTTGGTTGTGTGTGTGTGTGTCAGGCTTGGCACTAACACCTGCCTGCCCCTGACACCTGACATGTCTCCGTGGCACTGATGTTACTCCTTGTTGTTGCAGGTCGACCATGGGGATCCTAGAGGAGTGTCCCACGCCCACGCCCGTGTCCGTGGCCTTAGACATGTGCCTCAAACGCCAGGGCGACGGTCCCACACAGGCCACCCCCGCCCACCACCAAAACCCTCCGGCCACACGCCCACACCAAGACCCTGATGAAGACCTGGAGGTAGACGTGGTAGATACAGACTCCGAAATAGAAGTCGGGAAGGGTGAGGAGGAGGTGTGTGAGGAAGAGGAAGAAGGCGGAAACGTGGGCGGCGGGGGCGGGGAGGGGAGCAGTGAGGGCGGCGGGGACGCAGGCGGCCCCTCCAAGAGGAAGCAGCGCCGTTACCGCACCACCTTCACCTCCTACCAGCTGGAAGAACTGGAGAAGGTGTTCGCCCGTACTCACTACCCCGACGTGTTCACCAGGTGAGTCTCCCCCACCTGCCTCACATGATAGAACAACCACCATGTTTACACCAATCCGAAAGGTTAATCTAAATTAATGTATTTCATATAGACATAAAATACATATACCATAGACCCGATATATATAATGTACATGAAATTTATAATTTGTCTAATACATCTCGCTCTCGTCTCACAGAGAAGAACTAGCCATGAAGATTGGACTAACGGAAGCCCGCATACAGGTAAATAATCCCTACCATTATTACTTATTATATTACCTAAGTTTCACTATTTTACCTCAAACATTTATTCACCCCAATCGACTCCACCTTATATCACACCTTGGACCGACATTCAGGGCTACAGTTCTTCAGGTGATCTTTTAAAACCAGAATAATAAGCTGTAGCCCAGAGACGCGATACTTCTCCAACTTAAAGTTATCAATGACTAAAAAATAAACCAAATTGGGTTTTGTTGGCTGGTGGTGATTTTTGTCTATATATTTAAGGTTTGTTTACAATGACATTATTGTTGTACTTACCTGTAGATGTTTGTTCCTGTGATTAAGACTTTGGGAAGATGTCTTTAAGTCTGTGAACAAGTAGCTCCGTTGTCTTAAGGCGTTCCCGACTTCTACTTTAAGACAAAGACAACACCTCACTAACCTGGAAAATTTAAACCATTATTATTAAAATTTATCTTGAAATTTAATAAAAAACAAATAATATCTTTAAACTGTCAAAACTAAACGATAAATATATTTGAGGTTTAATCGAAATATAACTGGTCTTGTCATAAAATTTAAAAACAATATATATGATCTAAATTGTCTTGAGGGGTTAATGAATCACCCCGTGGATTGTGTTTGGAAAGATTAGCGAATTATGACTTAAGTTGTCTTTAAAATATTGGTGAATAACAACACGCTAAGACAAACTCCTAAGAACATCCTTACTCCAATGTGTGATTGGTGGTGGTGAGGGATTGGGTGGGGATTAGGAGACGTATGGTGGTGAGGGATTGGGTGGGGATTAGGAGACGTATGGTGGTGGGGGATTGGGTGGGGATTAGGAGACGTATGGTGGTGAGGGATTGGGTGGGGATTAGGAGACGTACTGACAAGCTGGAGGATTAGATAATTCTTTATATTAAGCCGTTGGATTGGAAAAATGTGGACTGCGGGGGTGTAGGCGTATACTGTAGGTGGCACTGGTGGGTGTTGAAGTAGGAGTGCCAGAGAGTGCCATCGATAATACGCAATAGTAATAAAAAAAAGATAGTGACACTAAAGAAAGATGATACTCCCAGTGTTAATCGTAATATGAAATAATAATAATAATAACAATAATAGTAATACCAGTAATAATAATAATAATAATAATAATAATAACAATAATAATAATAATACCAGTAATAATAATAATAATAATAACAATAACAATAATAATAATAACAATAATAATAATAATAACAATAATAATAATAACAATAATAATAATAATAACACTAATAATAATAACAATAATAATAATAATACCAGTAATAATAATATAACTAATAATAATAATAACAATAATAATAATAACAACAATAATAATAATAATACCAGTAATAATAATAATAACAATAATAATAATAATACCAGTAATAATAATAACAATAATAATAACAATAATAATAATAATACCAGTAATAATAATAATAATAATAACAATAATAATAATAATCCCAGTAAATAATAATGAAACAAACAATAAATAAATAAATGTATAGAAAATATACATAGGATACATACATAATTATTATTGACAAAAAATACGAAAATTAATACAAATTAAAAAAATAACAATAAATTTACACAGATGAGAGATAACAAGAGACGCAAATTAGTCCACCCTTCCACGTGTGTGTGTGTGTGTGTGTGTGTCTGTCTGTGTGTGTCTGTCTGTGTGTGTGTGTGTGATATGCGCTCCTATAAAAAAATCTAGTGGGGCTTAGAAGAGAGGAGGAGGATGGGTGGCACAGTCCATTTAGCGCTAACGACGAGACAAAATTCTGATCGCCAGGCGTCTATGTTCGCCAAGCTTTATTTTCTACTTTTTGCATCACATTTTTGAGTAAAGGTGTCTAATGAGGTGATATCTATGAGCTGATGAACCACAACACAACCTGGTCAGTGAGATACGAACGAACTTTTCTCTTTTTGGGGGCCGTAGTTGATGTACGGTCTTAAACTACGGTCCCGGGGAAGGAAGTGCAAATTAGGGCGTGTATTGTGGGAATATTGCCTTAGCACGGCTGCCTGTCAATGTTGAGTGATGAACGACGGTAATGAATGTGTGTCGTGGTTGTTTAGCGTTTGATGAATGTCGGCGGAATGACGCTTATTGCCCGCCTTCACGGAACCTCACCTCCTCCGCCCACGCCTCTAACTTCCGCCCATGATTGTAAATCCCGCCCATGATTGTAAATCCCGCCCACGCCTGTAATTCCCGCCCATGCCCGTAATTCCCGCCCATGCCCGTAACTCCCGCCCACGCCCGTAACTCCCGCCCACGCCGCGAAAACGACTAAGACTCACAACATTAGCGTATATACACCCGCTACCCGTACGTCGGGGAGAAAAACCTTTGCGTATACTGTACCGCCTTGCGTATATCGCCTTGTGTATACTCTGGTAAATGCGTGGAATATACTGATGCGCATACCCTGTCGCTCTCTCTACCACTACTGAATATACTCAACTATACATACACCGGTGAATAAACATCATACATAATGTATATCCCGATATCGTATTATAAAATTCTCTATGTATACTCCGGTGAATGTCATACGTTGTATATATTGTGCTGCACACATATTGCCTGACAAATCCACCGTGTATAATCAACAATACACCTCTGATGAATGATGGCCATACACTATACAATTTTCGTTAACCATACAAGTTGTGAAACCCCCATCGGCCATATACAGTCATCAATACAACGATAGATATACACTATACACTACGGAGCATCCTTTTAAGTCAAAATGGAATAATACAAACAAATCATACACCAAAGAAGGACATACACGACACATACACGCCAGACTTAATAGTAAATTATCGATGAGTATGTTGTATATCTAGCACAGAGATAAAGAAAAGACCTATAATCGTATACACACCTCATTGGTATATCTCATACACCAGGCATACAGCATACACCTGTAGCTATAAGTTATACAAAAAATACAGATGTTTTCACAGTCTGTAAGATGTTGCTCCAGAAAAAAATGGATTCCACACACACACACACACACACACACACACACACACACACACACACACACTCACTCAAATCTTGTGTAATCTATTTAACACTAAGGAAATAATCAGTAATATAACAAGTATCCCGAGACAAGAGGCAGAATCACAAGTTATCGCTGGAGATATTTCGAGTTAGTGTTTACGAAGGCTGAACCATGGTGTCGCAGGAGAAGTGTTGTTAAGTTATGAGACTGACCTATAATAACTATTCCATATCATGGGTTTTTCTTACACTTGTCGTTAGTATAATATATAATCACTATTATGGGAATAACTATATAAAATAATTATTGCCATTATAATCTGTGTGTGTGTGTGATAAATTACACGATGCTACACTCTCCACATTTCGGGCAAATCTTAACAAAATACTGCACAAGCAATAATTTTTTGGTCGAATTTTTAAATAGTTTTTCTTTTAGCTTAGTTCACCTGCATTATATACCAGATAGGGAAACTTAAATGTAAATTATAGGAAACTAACTAAATTATAGGAAACTGACTATATATTAAGGAAAGTGCTGTAAGTATTAAGCGACACTCGATAGATTCTTGTTAGTATCGGAGTTCATAATGATCGTTGTCTGTCTGTCTGTCTGTCTGTCTCGTAGTTCCAGCAAACCAACAAAATTAAGATATCTATTTTATGCAAAGAGTAAAAATAAAAATTAAAAACAAAATACCTAATAATACAGTGCAAATAGAAGGTTCTTGTCGAGGTTGACTAGAAATATATTTGTGGACAATTACTCCCCTCCAAACAAACACTTTTGTCTTTGTGTGTGTGTGCGCGAGACAGACAGACAGAACTAAACATGAACAAAAATAAATACGTTGAGGAAAAGACAGATGATGATTCACGTTGTGTTTAGTTCAAAGCATTATAATAATCTCCATATGTTAGCAGTTATTTATGTTGCTATTACCACTTGTTTCTCCTAGTAGCTCAGAGATCACCGTCCACTGTTGCAAATATTTTTTTACCTAATTCCCATCAACGAGGTGTTTATCATTAGTACTGAATCCTTACAGAAATCGGTACTAATTTTCTCTATTCGCGGTTCTGTGACGGAAGAGTATGTGTGTGAGGTTAAAAAGGGCTGGAGTACCGCAGGAGGAGCGTCTACCACCATTTCTCACTGTGTTGGAGAAGAAATAATAATTCATCTTATAAATATAGGAATTCCTCACTTGGTTGTTGTTTTCCTGTCATGATTCATTTTTAAACAGCAGTGAATATGGATCTTTTGTTTTTCTTGAGGTTTACTGTTATTTTCCCGCAACAATATGATGAGAACTTAGTTATTGCCTCTCCTTCCCTGCATCCCCTCCCTCCCCTCACCTTTTCTCCCCTGTCTTACCAAAATTTAAGACACACCGCTAGGTAATTATTTTCTATACATTCCCATACGTTAGGGAAATAAGTCACACGCTAGTATACTCTACGATATTATCATCATCATCTCTCTCTCTCTCTCTCTCTCTCTCTCTCTCTTTTATATTTTTCAGTCAATCTTGTAAGCAATTCGGACAATAATAGTCGAACAACAACATCGAAACACATGTCAAAAGTCGCTGATCACACACACACACACACACACACACACACACACACACACACACACACACACACACACACACACATCTTCAAGGTTTACAACACTTGTACTTCAACACCCGGTCATAAGACTCTCTCCTACACCCTCTACTTTACACTCTACCTCGGTACACACACACACCCAGCTTTAAGTATACACACTCATACAAATTACAGAGACCCGCCGTGTAGAAACGACTCCCTCAATCAATGCTGTTTACTTATGAATTAAAAACCTCGATAGTTCTATATGCATTTGTGCAGTATTTATTTATTCAACTAATTCTATTATAGTTATCGTTATACAGTATCTCGTATTATTTTAACCGTGTCTGTTATTACTGTATATATCGCGACTTGTTCTGCTATTGTATATATCGCGACTTGTTCTGCTATTGTATATATCGCAAGTGTGTGTGGGTTATAAATAGCGCCGGGGGAGAGGGGATGATTTATCGTCACAGGTGAACTGAAGCCGGAACAGAGCTTTGTTGATTTTCCTGATGCGAGTCACGAATCACACTCTCTCTCTCTGTGTGGTGGATAGTGTGGTAGAGAGAGAGAGAGATAACAACATAAGCCTCAAGAACAACATTTTCATCGACACCACTCCTTCCCATCCTCTCTCACGCTCCCCTTCCCTCCCCCCTCCACTCCTCCGTTCTTTCCAACTCCCTCCCTCTTCCCTCTCTCCTCCCTATCATCATCTGTTATCTCCCTCACCTCCTCACTCACTCATTCACAGGACCAGATTAACCGGGTGACGACAAAGGGCTGTGTTATTAGAGCAATAGCCCAGTCAGCCCCTTACGACTGGTCCCCACCTCATTGCTAACCTGTCCCAATTATCACGCCTGTCGATGCTGCCTCTCTGATCGTAATGGAATGACTTCTTTTTTGTAGATATTTTTTGTTTCTTTTTTCTTTACGTTTCCTCATCGTTTGTCAAGTGGGAGGGGGTGGTGGGGGGGAAGGAGGAAGAAAGGAGAAGGGATAATTGTGGGGAGGAGAGGGACATGTGGAAGGAAGGGATGATGGAAGAGGGAGTGATGGGAAGGAGATGGTGAAAAATTTTTAAATTTGGTGGAGAGAAGGTAAGGAAAGAGAAACGGGGGGAGGGGGATAAGAGGGAAGAGATGAAGGAAACAAAAATAAGGAATGAAAGAAATGATGGAGAAGGAAGGTGATACGTGAGGAGGAGGAGGAAGAGGGTGTACCTAGTCATCAACAATACACCTACAGTATACTACACACCTACAAGTCATCTCACACAAACATAAACGAATTCATTACCAACACACACACACACCTGTACACACACACACCTGTACACACACACACACGCACCTGTACATATACACACACGCACCTGTACATATACACACACACACACCACCATACAAAAACCAACACCACCCCACACACTAACCCCCATACTCAACCCACACCACACCCACACCACCACCCCACATCATCAACCCACACCACCTCACACACCACCACACCACACCACCCCACACACTAACCCCCATACTCCAACCCACACCACACACACTAACCCCACCACCCCACACATCAACCCACACCCCCACACTCCAACACCACCCAACACACTAACCACTCCAACCCACACCACCTCACACATCAACCCACACCACCTCACACTCCAACCCACACCACCCCACACACTAACCCCTATACTCCAACCCACACCACCCCACACACTAACCCACACCACTCCACACATCAACCCACACCCCCAACCCACACACAACCCCTAAAGAGACACTTAAATAATGCTTGGTTTAATTGGCTTCTCCCGGAAAGACGAAATTGGAAGGACCGGAATTAATTGGTTACCTGTAATTGGGGTGAGAAGAGGGGAAATCGCAGTAGAGACGGAAGTATAAATATGTGTTGGAAAATAGGTTGTGAATCTCCCCTATTTTATAAACAATTAAGAAGTATATAATGATTATTGGATACCATGTTGAAATAGGAAGGTGTGGATTATGCCTATTTTCAGATTATGCCGATTAATATGTAATAGGTTAATTAATATCAAACGTTACGAGAAAATAGTTTCAAGTCATCCCATTTCAACAGAATGTCTATTTCACTTATACCAATTTTCGTTTACTTAACCTAACTAAACCTAACCTTACATTACCTTACTAAACAAATTCTAACCAAACCTAACCAAATTTAACCTAACCTAAACTAACCTTACCTAGCCTAACCAAACCTAACCTAACCAAATATCGGGAGAGAAGAAGATTCCCTATTATGACCCTGGCCAATTACCGATTTTACCAGTTAACAATTACAGGAAGTCGGGGAGGGAAGGAGGATGTTAATCTTCCCTATTTTAACAAGTGTCAATTATACCAATTACAGGTTGACAGCTAGCGTTAAATACTTCAATATCTGCCACAATTAAAGGCAATTACTCCTCTCTCTCTCTCTCTCTCTCTCTCTCTCTCTCTCTCTCTCTCTCTGCAGCAACCATGACCGCTAATTTCAGACTGTCCGCTGTGCATCATGAGTGTGCACAGCTGTAAGAGTGCACAAGATTACTTCAAGATGCACCTTGTCTAGTCAAGTGTGCACGCTGTTAACTCGAATGTGCACTGGGTTAACCAACAGTGATCCAGCTTAACAGTGCACAATGTTAACAAAGAATATATAGTGTTAACTTAAAGAGGACAGTGTCAATCAAAGTGTACAGTGTTAATCAATGAGTGCACAGTAATAAAAAAAAAGTGCACTGTTTTAATTTTAAAGAGTGCACAACGGTTAACTCTCCGTGCACGTTCTTGGTTCGGGTTATGAACAGTTAAAAAATTTAAGACAAATTTAACCAATGTGTCTCTGGTTAATACGCCAAATTTAACATGTGCGTCACTCAGGTTTTTACGCCAAACATAACCCAACTATGCGTTCCGTCCACACACACACACACACTACTCTAACCTGACCCCACCTTACGCTTATTTTCCTAGTTTCTCTGTAACCTGTATGCATGTAAATAATAATAATAATAATAATAATAATAATAATAATAATAATAATAATAATAAGGCTGAAATTATATTTATATAATTGGGGAATGGGTCTCTTGATTGGCAAATAATATACAAGTAACATAGGTGATACAAATATGATATATAATAACTAGGTGGGGTGAAGGTCATACTACAGGGCATTTCAACATAGTAACAGTGTAAAAAGGTAAGATTGACTGGGAGTGAACACACTGGTTGATTACGAGTTGTTGATAATTTTTTTACAATGGTTGGGACTGGGCTGTTCTTATAGCGATCAGTACGTGCTCGTATGGGCTGGATGCGGTTGTGGCGTCGAACAGCAATTCGCGGACGAGGGATTTCGGGTGGAAGAAGGAGTCGAGGATGTATATAAGTATGTATGTATGTATGTATGATGGGGAGGAGGAAGTGGTGGGCGTTAGGGTATGGGGAGGACTGGGGTTAATGGGGATGTGGTAATGGGAGGTTCAAAATATTAGACAAATTGGTAGCTTTGCCGCCTATTCCACCCAACCCCTACTGAATCTGCCACCCACCACCTGTAAGATTAGCCACCCACCGCCCACAAGCCTAACCACCCACAATTCCAGCCACCCATCCCCTACAACACTCACCCATTTACTACTCAAACCACCCACCGCCCATAAGTCCAATCACCCCACACCCACAAGTCTAACCACCCCACACCCACGAGTCCTACCACCTCACACCCACCGCCCACTACTCAACAGCTGCTCCACACCAAAATCACCCACCAGTGTTTTTTTTTATCCAGAGTCGATAATGAGAGGCCAGAGGAATAACGATCGGTTGTGTGGTGGTAGGTAATTAGGCTCCTTAATTACCTCCCTTATTATATATGGCTCTTGCTCAATTATACTCGTGTTTCCCCTTCAACAACCACACTAAATAAGACTCGGGGGTGTTCTATCTACTGCTCCTGAGACATTAGGGGTGAGAGGAGGAGAGAGAGAGAGAGAGGAAAGGGGGAGGTGAGGGGAAGGATGGGGAGGAGAGGGAGAAGAGGAGGAGTGAGAGGCTATATAGTGTCTCAGTCTGGCTCTGGGGGGTAGAGAAGTATCGTGTTGTTTTCATGGTACACGGGAAGGGGGAGGGAGTCATTAGGTGTCCGAATAAAGTCTTCGTGACACAATAGGGAGTTGGTAGTGTCCCCATTATTGGTTTCTTTGACGAAGGAAAACGACAAGAGGAAGCAGACGGTGTAAGCAGGACCTGTGTGACTGTCTTGTGTGACACTGACGGAGGGAGGAGTTAGGGGTACGGTGCTGTATGAGAAGGTAGTCTCTCATTAGATGGACTTGTGTGAGTTACTACATAAAGTCGTCCACTATGACTCAGTGTTCCTCCTGCCGCTGCTGCACGCTGAGGTAGGCCCTGAAGGGTTGGCGGCGCCTGGTATAATCATCCACAGTGGACGGGGATAGAAGCAGCTATATTAGTCTCGCGAGAAACATCACTCAGACAAATAAAGTAGAAAGAAATTAACCTGTCATGGGAAATTAAATTTTCTCCTGATATAGCAGTAATGATGCTAGTAAGTTAGGGCAGCCCTTGTCTACACGGCTGAAGAACGGCTGGGAGACACGCACACACACACACACACCCCCGTCTGGTCCAGGGGGGACGGGGTGGGGGTGCCTGCTCGCTAAGTTGCCCCCACCCCACCCCCCTTGTCAAGAGACGGTAGAGTTCAGGGCAACGCTTCAGGCCAGTATTATGTGAGAGTTTTTATGAGCCAGCACCGAGGGATCAAAAGAACGGAATTTGATTTGTGTATAATGAAGAAAAATTGAGGAGTTGGTTGTTGTGAGGGAGCCCGGTGGCCACTTTCATCTGAAGGTCCATGTCATGTCGAGAGCCAATAACTCGCCTCGTGTTATTAGGTTTGGACCGCTTCAGGACCTGCTGGCCGGGATTAGTGATCATAAACAACACTATAATTGATATATGCGTAACACAGCTGATCTATTCCCACACTTTAATTTTCGTCAGCCGTAATATAACTCTAACTTGGTTCTTTTTCCTCCGCCAGGTGTGGTTCCAGAACCGGCGGGCCAAGTGGAGGAAGCAGGAGAAGGTTGGTCCGTCGACTCACCCGTACGGCGCCTTCCCTTCGTCAGCACCTCTGCCCCTCCAGAACCCTGCCCTCCCTCCCACCATCTCCAGCCCCTTCGCCGGTCTCGGCTACCCGCACTCACCGAAACATCTCGACCATACTGCCATGTTTCACGGCGCCCGTGTACCACCGCCGCCCACTGCTTACCTGCCGCCCACCTCTGCTGCCTCCCAGGCCCTCCTGTCCCCAGGCTCCCCCTACTTGCACCCGTCACTGGCCGTCCTCCGTGACCTGCAGTACAGGCCACCTGCACTTGCCCCCCACCTGCTGCCCTACACTCCCTCGTTTACATCCGTCCTGGCACAGCTGTCTCAGCGTTCTAAGTTAGAAGCAGCGCCCTACCTGGCGAGCCTGCAGCCCTATCTGCCTTCCCTTGCAGGCCTGCAGTCCCATGCCTCCACCCTCTCGTCATCGGGCCTGGCGCCGCCCTTACCATATTCTCCACCCCTTACTGGCCCTCAGGGGCTGCAAGCTCCCCCTCTTGCACCCCTCCCTCTGCGCCGGGACGATGCAGAGCGCCGGCAGGCCTCCCTCCAGGACCTGAGGCTGAAGGCGCGTGACCAAGAAGTGAAGCTGGAGCTGATGCGGAAGGCCGGCGAGATCACGGCGTGAAGACCCGGCGTCCAGGGATGGCCGCCTCAGGACGGTCACTGGCTACTATTCTGACTGCAGGGAGTGAAAACGCAGAGCCCGGGCAGGCGGTCACTGCTGCAGAAACCACCCTTGTAGTGGGCAACGCTGCTAGAACCCACAACGAAGGTGAGCCCCAGCCAACGGCGGCTCTGCTGCCTCTCAGGTTGGCTGGGTTCTGTCAGGGACCGCAGGATGAACAGTGAATCCTCGACAGTTTGTCACTCAACCAATTTGATGGATTTTATAGTGGCGGATATCACAAGTGATCACGAACGCAGATGAAGAGTAATACACCTGGCCATGGACGCAGGTGACCACTGACACATCTGGCCATGGACACAGGTGACCAATGAAACACCTGGCCATGGACGCAGGTGACCACTGACACATCTGGCCATGGACACAGGTGACCAATGAAACACCTGGCCATGGACTCAGGTGACCACTGACACATCTGGCCATGGACACAGGTGACCAATGAAACACCTGGCCATGGACGCAGGTGACCACTGACACATCTGGCCATGGACGCAGGTGACCACTGACACACCTGGCCATGGACACAGGTGACCAGTGTCACACTGGCCATGGACGCAGGTGACCACTGACACACCTGGCCATGGACGCTGGTGACCACTGACACACCTGGCCATGAATACAAATGGACACTTTACCACAACTCGTCAGGAGGCCAGGTGTAGAGGAGAACCAACTAGCAGTAAAAACGTGACGCCAATATATTCATCCAATCATAACAAATAGTTTTAACCAAATGGACACAGGTGGCCAAAGGCGGCTAAGTTAGTGCCGGGACTCAGGAGTAATGTAATGATGTGCCTCTAGAGTGTATAATGGCGATGTATAGTAGTGTATGCTGTATAGTAGTGTATAATGTATAGTAGTGAACGAATCAAACTATAATATGTACACACACACACACACACACACACACACACACACACACACAGTCAATAATCAAAGTGACCCGTCCAAGAGTCTGTTGCCTTATTTACAATATATCCAGCCTTTATGACCCGACCTGACCTGGGTCATGTATATAGCTTATTTAATATTTGTCATGTTTTATTTTTATTATTTTTTGCTGTTATTTAATAGAAGCCAAAGTTATTACCTTCAAGTCCTTGGTGTATATGATTACTCTCTGAATAAACTCATGAACAGAAAATAATATCTTTTCATTGACAAGTAATCAAATCCTGTTTTTTCCACGAATCAGCTGTTAGTTGATTAGAGTCAGTGTAGCGTGTGATGAGGCAGGTGTGTAGTATTGCCAGCCTCAGGTGTCCACGAACGGTGTGTCATTGATACACACAGACCCGGTAATGTGCTCTGGTGCTGCGCTCTTAAAAAACAAAAAACACCAAAATTTGTAATATACGTTAAATTAGATCATTTCTAAAGCATGTAAATCTCTAGATACTTTTTACACAGACACACACCTGCATATGACAGGTGTACGCCAGTTATCCCACAGGTGTTATATAGATAGAACATATATAAAGGTGTATCGATGTATAACTTCCAGATACACGACATAGATATCGGCATAGACAGCAACATAAGTAAATTTGCTGATGACACTAAAATAGGACGTGTTATTAAATCTGACGAGGACTCGGCAAAACTACAGGAAGATCTAAACAAATTTTTCGAATGGTCTGAAAAATGGCAGATGAAATTCAATGTCGACTCGTCTTAAAATTACTCGAGCATAGGAGATGTAAGCAGGAAGCCAGATCTCAGATGGTTTCTTCAACTTATTGATGCCATAGAAATCCGACTGCGAAGATTGGGAGTAATATTAAGTAGGAACCTTAAGCCAAGTAAACAATGTGTTTGCTCGTAACAAAGACTAATAAAAGTACTTGGGTTCATACAAGGAAGTGTTAGTTACAAGACTGAGGTCATCCTAAAACGTATCTTCTTTCTTGTGAGACCACACACAGGATTACGCAGTTCAGTTCTGGTCACCGTATTACAGAGAATGGATATAGAATCCTTGGAAGAATTCAGAGAATGACAAGATCGGGCATTAGGAACCTTGAGTATAGAGACAGGTTAAAAGCACCGTAATTTACGCCCTCGAGACGTATTAGAGCGGGGCGACCTGATGGGGTGTATAGAGTGGAAGAACGAAAGGGCTAAACAAAGGGACATTAAAGGTACTCAAGTGTCAACCAGGAACGAACTCGTAGCTGTGGTTTTAAATTAGACAAATTTGGGTAGGCGTGAAATAGGTAAACTGGTTTGGAAACAAGTAGTGGATAGATGGAACAAGTTACCAAATATCATCATTAACTCGAATACGCTGAATTGCTTCAAACATAGGTTGGATGCTCATATGAGCAATAGGGGTTGGTTGTAAACGGGACTGCCCAGTATGGGCCAATAGGCCCGCTGCAGTTTCCTCCATTCTTATGTTCTTATGTTCTTATATAATCAACACATATTATCAGACTTACACATGTGCTTTTTCCCACAAAAATCAATAGTCGTTAATAAAGAAGACTTGTGTATGATTGTATGCAAACAACACAATACCAAGAGTTTGTAAAGACGCAAACAATCAGTTACACAATTGCAATACTTCAGTCACTTATAAACTGTAGTGAACCACGTTAAGGATACACAAATACAACTTATAAAACTGACTTACTTATAAACGATGTAACAAATATGAAAATACAAAAGATTATTATTTAAACATTAGTGAAAAAAAATAAAGGATTCACCTGAAGATTAGCCCCCCAACCGCTAGCTGTTTTCACCTGTAATGAAACACCCTAAAGCTACCTGGAGGGCTGGGTTGGGTTACTGTAGATTAGTTTAGGGTATGTTAGGTTAGTATAGGTTAGGGTAGGGTAGGTTGAGTTGAGTTAGGTTAGGTTAGGTTAGGTTGAGGTGACAGATGGGTTTTTCAAGAGGTAGCGTACATATACCTAACTTAACGTAATGTTAGCCTAATCTAACCTAGCTTAACCATAGTTTACCTTACTTAATCCAACCTAACCTAACCTAACCTTGCCTAGCCATACATGATGTAACCTAATCTACCATAACCTAATCTTACCTCACCTTACTTAGCCAAATTAACCAAACCCAACTTAATCTTACTTAACCCTTGACCTAGCTGCCTAGCCTACCTAGTAATGATGGCACATAGAAGAATATCAACAAAAATCATAAAAAGATAAATATAATTACTTAAAATCTCCTTCATGATAATTAAAAAAATCAAATTTCGCTACCTGGCGGCAGTTTGGTCAGGAAAGGGTGTTTTCAGGTGAAATAAGCTGGGGCGCCTAATCTTCAGGTGGAATAAGCTGGGGCGCCTAATCTTCAGGTGAAATAAGCTGGGACGCCTAATCTTCAAGTCAAATAAGCTGGGGCGCCTAATCTTCAGGTGAAACAAGCTGGGGCGCCTAATCTTCAGGTAAATTAAGCTGGGGTGCCTAAAATTCATGTGAAATAAGCTGGGGTGTCTAATCTTCAAGTCAAATAAGCTGGAGCGCCTAATCTTCAGGTCAAATAAGCTGGGGTGCCTAATATTCAGGTGATCCTCCTCTACTTAGTATATAAAAGGGTATTAAATTACCAGATATTAAGCAACAACGGCAGAAGTATATTTTGTCTTCACAAACAAGCTTAATTATTAATTCTGTCTAAGCTTAAATATTAACCCTGTTTACATATACAAGCTTAAATATTAATCCTAAACTTAAATATTAACTCTGTCTACATAAAAAGCTTCAATATTAATCCTATCTAAGCTTAAATTTAACTCCATAAACAAACTTAAAATATATATTCTGTCGAAGCTTAAACATTAATGCTGCCTAAGCTTAAACATTATCCCTACCTAAGCTTAAATATTAATCCTGCATAAGCTTAAATATAAACCCATCCACACAACTAAGCTTCATTTTACTGAACATAACATTTCCATCAAACCAAAAAACAATATATAATGAACCAGGTACAAAATTAACACTAAAAATTAACTTAACTAACACTGATATAACAAGAAAAATTAACATTATTCTTAGCTCTATTGTAGAAAGGTCAAGTCACAATTTTAATGAGTTAGTGTTTAGCTGTGTGTGTTTTAGGACAATATCGCCTTGTTTAACTCACTTGAACATAATCTAACTCGAGTGAACAAATTAAAAAAAAATCGAGTGAACAAAATTTTAAAAAACTCGAATGAACAAAATTTTAAGAAACTCGAGTGAACAAAATTTTAAGAAATTAAAAAATAAATAACAATGAATAGAAAATAAATACAACAATAAATACAACAAAATAAATACAATAATGAATAAATAAAATACAATAAACAATAGAGTACATCAACTGGGAACCTCTCGTTGATTACCGGGTTAAAACTTGTTTATAATGAGTTATATTATTAATAAAATAACTCTTAAACAAACTACCTCGTGCTAATTGGCTGTGGTTTATGTGTTGTGTTTTATCTAATGGTGTTCATTAATTAATTCTTGGTTTGTTCTAATAATAACAACAACCACAACAACAACAACAACAACAACAACAACAACAACAACAACCACAACAACAACAATAAATAATAATAATAATAATAATAATAATAATAATAATAGCCTTTACTACAAACTGGCCATTCACAGTTATAACAAACACCAAAAATAAAACGAATGTGGTTAATAATAATACAAGAGTCCAATAAATTCTAAACACAACGAAAGGCAAAAAAAAAAAGTAAAAAGAAAAAAAAAAGTCTTAGGTGTACAGGTATGCAGCCAGGTGATTAATTAACATCCGTTTAGTATGACAATAAATAAATTAACAAAAACAAAACTAATGACAGGAACCCAGCAGAGAAGACTTGACCACTTGTAACAACAATTATTATTATTACTGCTTTGTGTTTTTCTCATTAGGTCATTGAACAATAGAAAGTTTTATTACTCGACTAGCTAGCCCTTGAGGACGATGATTTAACTCCTTCAAGGACGATGATTTAACCCCTTCAAGGACGATGATTTAACCCCTTGAGGACGATGATTTAACCCCTTCAGGACGATGATTTAACCCCTTCAGGATGATGATTTAACCCCTTCAAGGACGATGATTTAACCCCTTCAGGACGATGATTTAACCCCTTCAGGACGATGATTTAACCCCTTCAGGACGATGATTTAACCCCTTCAGGACGAGATGATTTAACCCTTGAGGATGATTTAACTCCCCTGGGCGACGAAGGATAACTCTTCAGGACGATGACGAACTCTCTTGAGGACGATGATTTAACCCTTTGAGGACGATGATTTAACCCTCTCAGGACGATGAGGATTGAACCCTTGAGGACGATGATTTAACCCCTTGAGGACGATGATTTAACCCCCTTCAGACGATGATTTTAACCCCCTTCAGGACGATGATTTAACCCCTTCAGGACGATGACGAACCCCTTGAGGACGATGATTTAACCCCTTCACAAGGACGATGATTTAACTCTTCCGTGACGATGATTTAACCTCTTCAGGACGATGATTTAACCCCTTTGAGGACGATGATTTAAATCCCCTTCAGGACGATGATTTAACCCTTCAGGACGATGATTTAACCCCTTCAGACGATGATTTAACCCCTTCAGGACGATGACGAACTCCCCTTTCAGACGATGATTTAACCCCTTCAGGACGATGATTTAACCCCTTCAAGGACGATGATTTAAACCCTTCAGGACGATGCCGATTTAACCCTTCAAGGACGATGACGAATCCTCTTCAAGGACGATGATTTAACCTTCAAGGGACGATGATTTAACCCCTTCAGGATGATGGATTTAACCTCTTCAGGACGATGACGAACTCCTTGAGGACGACATGATTTAACCCCTTCAAGGACGATGATTTAACCCCTTCAGGACGATGATTTAACCCCTTCAAGGACGATGATTTAATCCTTTGAGTATGGTGACTATTTAACCCCTTGAGAACGACGGGTTAATCCATGAGTATGATGACTGGTTTAACCCTTTGACGACGATGGTTTAAAGCCCAAAAAATGCTCTTGTTAAGTTCCAATGATTATGGGTGTTCCTCCAGCAGCAGCAGTGGACGAGGCCTCACCACACCACACGGAAGCAGATGACTTAAACTTGTGACACGTAACGAGACG